CAATGGAACTTCCATGGTAGAAGAAGAATAGGTAGATGCATCAAAGCTTGGGAACATTGATATGTCAAAAATTTTGAAATTGAAATTCAAAAATAAGTATATTTTTGTATGTTCTGTTATACGACGCTAATCGGAGATTATTATGATATTCATTTTTCAACAATTTCTACGAATTTGAAAAGCTTTTCTTTCAAAATTTTCAATTTCAAATTTAATTTGACAGTTTATTGTCCCAGCAGCTGTTTCGATGCGACTACCTGTGTTCTTCTACCATGGGAATTTCCATCCAATCCAATTGAGAAAATTACAAACCTACCATAAAATAAATACCTCGATTTAATTAAATACTTTTATTTTAATTATTAGCATCCATCATCCACTGAATTGGAATATAAAAATCGAATAAAAGCTGCGATGATGATGGTATCATCATCGTCAGCATTAAACTCAAGTCGCCTTCAATTCCAACAAAAAAACAAATTCACTTTCATTTGAAGTAGGTATGTATTTGTTAAATTGTTTTCAATTGTTATTGAATCACATGAAATCCAGCAAATCGTTGGTTTATTTGTGTACATTACCAAAAGTTCGGACAATAGGGGGTATTTTGTTTTCGTATTTGAATATTATCGATGATATGCCTACAACATTGTGTTGTTACTTAGCAGCTTCTTTTTTTATTTTTATGTCATTTATTGAGCAATGTTATTTGTTAAGAAAGCCAACACCAACAACAAAACAATTCCACATTTAATTTTCATTTTTTTTATTAATATCCCTTCAACTTGTGTCATATAAATAATAATAATACTACAAAGACAACAAGAACAACAAGCCAAGACAGCAGACAAATATTGGGGCGAGTTATGCTGCTGACGACACAGACACGAATGCTACCGCCACCGCCACCAACACTGCTGTTCCTATCGCTCATACCGTTGATGATGGCGATGATTGCGATGTTGTCTCAGTTAGGTGCCACGGTGAGACGGCGAATCGGCCAGACCAATTGTCTTTCTTAAATTAACCTAAATGTTCGCGTGTTTTATTTATTTGTTTATTTCAATATTAGGGTGTAATAAAACCAATTGAAGAGGGTGTGAAGTAATGTAAAAGAAAAGAAACTAATATAAAAAAATTCCACATTTGAATTCTATGCAAGCTTTATGATGCCATTATGTGATGAACAAAAATCCACAGAAGAATGTTTATGATGACACTACCCAAAAATTGATTACAATGTTTTTACTTGTTTTAGCACAACATTGAAGCAAAATAAAGCAATTTGGGAAAGAAATTTTGGCAGCCCAATTATTCAAAAATTCAATCAGCTGTTTTAATAAAAAAACATTTGTCGTGTTTTGTTTATTTTTATGGCGTACAAATTGTTTTGACAAATCAGCTGATTTTTTTCGAGCTTTTCAGGGATGATGTCTCCCAGAAACCCGCTGGCCATTACAATTTAATACCCATCCAAACGTAAGCTATTTTTTCAATAAGAAACAAGTTAAGAAACAGTATGTTCGGCCGGGCCGAACTTTGAATACCCTCCACCATTTAGAATGAATATGGAAATTTTCAAAAAATAAAGCCCTTAAAAAATACTGTTAAAATTTTAAAAATACCGAATATAGCCGTTATATTGGGGTCTATACGACGTGGACCTACATGGGCATTGTTTGTCATAAGCCATTACCATATTCAAATTCGAAAACTTCTATAAAGGGAGGTACCGTTATATGGGAGCTGTGCGAAGACCTGAAACCAGCATAGACAATTTTCTGTCAGAGGCTGTAGCATCCATTACGAAGTTTAAATACGACACCTCAAAAAATATCGGTGAGCATTGTACCTAAACTCGTCAAAATACCGAATATAGGGAGGTACTGATATATGGGGGCTATACGAAGACGTGGACCTGCACAGTAATTTTCTGTCTTAGGCTGTAGTATCCATTACGAACTTCAAATACCAAATTTGAAACAATTCCGGTGAATAATGCCGCTAAAATCATCAAAATGCCGAATATTGGAAGGTACCGTTATATGGGGGTTATACAAAGACGTGGACCTGCACAGACAATTTTTTGTCTTAGACTGTAGTATCCATTACAAACTTCAAATACCAAATTTGAAACAATTCCGTTGAATAATGTCGCTAAAATCTTCGAAATACCGAATATCGGAAGGTACCGTTACATGGGGGCTATACGAAGACGTAGACCTGCACAAACAATTTTCTGACGTAGGCTGTAGTATTCATTACGAACTTCAAATACCTAATTTGAAACAATTCCGGTGAATAATGCCGCCAAAATCATCAAAATGCCGAATATAGGGAGGATCAGTTATATGGGAGCTATACGAAGCCAATTTTCTGTCAAACAATGGAACAATTCCAATGAATAATGTCCCTGAAATCATCAAAATACCGAATATCGGGAGGTACCGTTATATGGGGGCTATATGAAAACGTGGACCTACATGGCCCATTTACAAACTTAACCTGCCTACTGGAAAAATGAACATGTGTGCAAAATTTTAGCCGTCTATCTCAATTCATTCGAAAGATAGCGTGATTACAACAGACAGACAGACATCGCTAAATCGACTTAGAATTTTACGCTGATCAAGAATATATATACTTTGTTGGGTCTGACATGAGTATTTCGAGGCGTTACAAACGGAATGACAAAATTAATATACCCTCCATAGTATGGTGGAGGGTATAAAAATGAAATAACAGTGGTTAATAGCATACAACTAGCATCCGATTTAGATGAGTCGTAGATGCTTGGCATGACTTCGATAATAACCGGACCGAGTTTCATCAAATGGTAAAATTTATGTGATTACATTTAGGGTGAGCAATAACCTAAATTTGATGTACTTGCTTCTAGACTGAATTCGGCTCGGATGTGCCAAAATTCAGGTCATTTGGTCTGATATTGGAAATTTGGTGCGCAATTAACCCGAAATCGGTTGAAGATATATATGAGAGCTATATCTAAATTTGAACCGATTCTCGCCAATTTCAATAGGGTTCGTCCTTGGGCCAACCCATATTTTTTTTTTTTTAAATTTCATCTCAATTGGATAATAAATGTGACCTGGATTTTGTTCCCAAAAATAAATGGACAGACGGACGGACAGATAAACTGATTTGCTAATCGACACAGAAAGTGATTCTATGAAGATCCTCAAAAGTAACTATGGGTCTACCTTGTTCCTTCTCCGTGTTACAAACAAATGCACAAAGACATAATACCCCTATCACTATGTGGTGTAGGGTATAAAAAGCAATTAAGTTCGGCCGGACCAAGAACTGTATACCCTCCACCATCAACTTATAGCACTTTGAGTAATAAAAGTCGATTAAATCCTGGCTGCTTAAACGCGTGTACTATCTGCCATAACTTGCGAAACAAGTGAATGATTCTTTACATCTTTTTTTTTTTTTGAAAATTTCGACCTTTTGTGGGGGAAGTACCAGATAGAGTGGACCGATATATTTCATTTTCACACCAGACCATGGGTTCATAAAAATATTTTAATATGTGTAATTTGATAATCGGACTCTTACATCACATTTTATAACCGTTTTAATTATTCAAATTTTTGACCCTTTGTGGGTTAGGTATTGGATGGAATGGACCGATATTTTCCATTTTTGCAAAGTTGGAGCAAAATCGGATTATCGTTTCTAATTCTGTGCAGAAAATATTTTTTTTGAAAATTTTGACCTTTTGTGGGGGAGGTACCAGAAGAAGTGGGCCGATGTCCCCCAACCCCGAACTCGATCTAAGTTTGACAACAATATTACGATGTACCAAGTTCGGATCAAATCCTCCCTTCGAAAGTTATCGTGCGCACCAGCCAGATTGACAGACGGACGGACGAACATCGCTAGATCGACTCCAAATGTCCTAAAACGGATTTGGTCCAAAGAGAGCTAGGGTCTAAAATCGTTATTTCGACTAGGCACGTTTTCACCGTATCAAATGATATATACCCTCTGTAGCCATATGGCTGAGGGTGCAATGTAGCTGAGGGTATAAAAAGAGGAATTGATTGGTGAACGGCATTTTGTTCTGGAGAAGCACTGATTAATCGAATGTCGACTTACATATCCCTACTCTGCCATGGCTTTTTGATTGTACCATGTTCAGATACATGTTACTCGCTTCAATGAATTTTACTTATTGTTCTTATTTAAATTAGAACCGATTTAAATCCATTGCAGGAGTTTAATTTTCATAGAGGAACTGAATTTATCATAATACTTTACAACTTAACAACAACTCATTTCAAGGACAAGTGCATATGCCCAATGTCAATTATTACATCAATTTTTACCGCAATGGAATATTTGAGAAAATTACAAAAAAAATTGATATTCGTTGAATACACACTTGTTGCAGAAACTTTCCTAATTTAATTAGAATGAGAACTTTTTGACATCATCCAACCAACAATACACTCATACCATGCCATCCATCTTCATAATTAACTAACATACAAAACGATGCCTTCGGGTCTGTGGCCAAATAAAAGCTTATGTTGGGTGAGGTTATGTGATGGGATATGTTTTTGATTTTTCTCGAGAATGCCGAACGACCAAACGAGAATAAAAGTATAGAAATAACGTTACGCTTACGTTGAAGGAAAATTCCCTACACGTGTCATTTTTTCCACGAAATAAAACAGCAACAACAACAAATATAACGCCAATATGTGCCAAACACACAAATGTTTTTTGTTTTTCTACGACTCTCAAACCTTTAATATCAACACTGACAATTCCCACCCCAACTACTTTCTTTTCGTCTATTTTGTTTGTTCAAACTTTTGTTTTGACATGAAGTTTTATTATCAATTATGCTTTCCACACAAACGCACACACACACATTTTTCGCTGGGTTTAAGGATGATGGAATCAAAATAAACTACATGAAAAACATTAAAAGAAAATGCCAACAAACAAAGCGAAAAATAACTTACTTTTTTGGCTATGTTTGCAACTGTTGTTGTTTCTCTCTGCCTCTCACTCTCTCTCGCGCTCTTTGTTTATTTGACTTTGGGTCTAGTCTCCTTTAAATTTCGCCTGGCTGGGAGGGTGATTTTGTGCTCTCTTTTAGTGGCTGCTTATTGCTCAGTGTGAGTGTGTGATAACCCTCACTCTCACCCTTGTATATCCTTTGGGTTTATGTTTAGCGCGTGTGACACACTTTCAAAGGGTCCTTATTCCACACACTTTCTCTCAAACACACGCACGCAAACATGCATTTGCAGACAAAGATCTGCTATGATTTGTTGATATATATTTTTCTTGTGATTATTTTGATAGATTTTTCTGTCGGGAGCTATCTCGGTTTTGTCTCTGTCGCTGAGGACGTTATTAACACACGCGCTTGGTATTAAACCAACAGCAACAAAAACTATCAAACAGCCACCGGTATCCTAAAATGTACCAAAGAGTGGGTGTTTGCGGAGGCACATCAATTGAGAGAAGAGCCAGCCGAACGACACGGACAATGTTGAGGGAGCGTGGAGTTAAAATTTGAACGTGTATGCCTTTTCTTCCTCACAATGTCATTCAACTTTTGCTGCCAGAACTACAGCTGCTGTATTAGTAGTCCTGTAACTTTTTCTTACGGAGGGGGTTTCGGGGATTTCTTGCTGTTTGCTTCGAAGGGCTTTTTAAAGGGCAAATTTTTGCGCACTGGAAGTCAAAAGGCAACTAGAAATACGATTTCTTGTGATTTGCTCCAAGGGTTCGTGAAATTTCTATTTTGTTGTATTTGAACAGAAAATTTTGAAATCGGCTCTTTAATTTGCAAAAACTTGAAGACTTGAATTTTTTGAAAAAAAAAAAACTGCTTTCGATTATTTTCACACAGTTTTCTTTTTTGTTTTAGACAGACAGTTGGACAGATGTTTTTGAAACAAAAATTTCCACTTATTTTTGGAATTGACTGGAACAAAAAAAAAAAAATTCTTAAAGATTTTGAATTGAATTTTTCTTTTTTACAAAACACTTTTTATTTTATTTATGGTTTTTTTCTTTCTATTTTGTTGTAATTATGTTTTATGAATATTTGTTGTATTTATTGCTCTTGATTTTTAAATTTTTATTTTTGTTTTTTTTATTATTTTTCTTAATTTTGTTATTTATTTTTGTATCATTTATTTATTTTGTAATATTGTCATCCACCGCTGCTGTATTGCTGTTTTGTTATTTTTTTGGCCGTACGTCCGTACAAGTCTGATAGCCGCCCGCCATACAAATGGCTTTTACACCAGTGTCCCGTATTTAGAATTCCGCTGAGCAGTACTCCGTTTGTCTGTTCTATAGAAACGACAGAGCGTTTTATTTTTTTTTTCTTCTGTTCTGTTTCTGTTCGGCTCACTGGCTGGCTGGCTGTGTGTTATGTTCACAAATTTTGTTGGCTGTATTTTTGTGTTTCTTCTCCCTCGGTTCTGCTGCTCTGTATTTGGGTATTATTTTGCGCTGCTTTGTGCTCTGCGCACACAACAGTGTCATTCAAGGGCATTGCAAGGTCGTAGTGTTGTATATAAAATACAAAAAACAACAACAACAACAAAAATTGCCATACTTTACTTTGTATACTTATTGTGTTTGGTCGGTCGGTCGGTCGCACGCTCGGTCTACTGGTTGGTTTAGATTTGTTTGGTTGCCATCAGCCGCGTCACACTCATAGTTACAACATTAACTTCTCCGCCAATTATGTAGTTGATGCCGGTTACTTGTCGTGTGTTCTCTCTAGAATCATCATGAGCAAGATAGTCCACAATTGCTAAAGCTAAAGCTACGATTCCAATGTGGAAACATCTACAATATGCTGGCGACATACTTACATACGTCGTCTGTCTATGGACATGTATGATATGAAATTCACCGGCAATTAATGTTGCATTCTTCTGATTTGTACTGCTGCATAGCCATTGATGCAAATTGATTTAACAATTGAAGGCATGGCTGGTTTAAATTAGTTGTAACGGCTAAGGAAAACTAGTTCAACGTAATTGCAACATAAACACATGGGGCGGTATGAGATCTTGCAACACGAGATCGGATCATACAGCATCCAAAACATAGGATCTATTTAGATATATTGGGAAAAACATACACGGGACATTTCTCAAAGAGCTAGGTTACATATCACGTTGGAGTCATATGTAAAGCGACTTTTTACACCCTCAGCAATAGGGCTACAAAGGGGAATATATCATTTGATACGGCCAAAATGGGCCTCATCGAAAGAAAAGGGTTTGGCCCTAGGTCTCTTTGAACCAAATCCTTTGCAGGACATTTGAAGGATTTCGAAGGGAGTATCTGATTTGACCCAAACTTGCTATATGGTAATATTATTATCAAACTTACATCGAGTTCAGAGATGGGCAATGTCGGTCTACACCTTCTGGTACCTCCCCTCCCTCACAAAAGATCAAATTATTCAAAGAATATAATTTAGCGCATAAAAAGCAAAAAGAGTCCACCCAATTTTCCGTTCGTCCGTCTGTCCCTGTATTTTTGAGCACAAAATGCAGGTCGCATTTATTATCCGATTGAGATTTTTCAAAAAGAATAAAAGAATTTGTTCGGCCCAATCTCTTCAAATTTAGATATAGCTTTCATATATATCTTCAACCGATTTCGGGTTAATTGTGCACCAAATGGCCAATATCAGTCCAAATGTCCTGAATTTTGGTACAACCGAGCGAATTGAGTCCAGATGCAAGTACATCAAATTTGGAGAAAATCGAATCAGATAAAGCTTGAGCTCCCATATATATGTTTTAGCCAATTTTGGGTTAATTGTACACCAAATGGCCAATATCAGTCCAAATGTCCTGAATTTTGGTACATCCGAGCGAATTGAGTCCAGATGCAAGTACATCAAATTTGGAGAAAATCGGTTCAGATGTTGATATAACTCCCATATATATGTTTCAGAAGATTTTGGGTTAATTGTGCACTAAATCGCGAATATCAGTTTGAATGTCCTGAATTTTGGTACATCTGACCGGATTCAGTCTAGAAGCAAGTACATCAAATTTGTTGAAAATCGATTCAGATATAGCTATAGCTCCCATTTGCATATTTCACCCGATTTCAGGTCAATTATGAACCAAATGGCTAATATCAGTCCAAATGTCCTGAATTGTGGTTCATCCGACCAAATTCAGTCTAGAAGCAAGTACATCAAATTTGTTGAAAATCGATTCAGATATATCTATAGCTCTCATATATAAGTTTCAGTCGATTTCGGGTTAATTGTGCACTAAATTATTAATATCAGTCCAAATGTCCTGAATTTTGGCACATACGACCAAATTCAGTGTAAAAGCAAATATACAGGGTGCGATAAAAAAAACTGCAACCAATTTCAGACTGCTGTCATTAAAGCCACTCGTCCGATATCTGTTATTGTTTACAAGCATATAAAAGCATTTTTGTGAATATTTCCAGAAAAAAGGTATTCGTGATGGAATTCAAGCGTGATAGCGTGATTTTTTTATATTTGGCTGGAAAACCACAAGTAGCTATCATTAGAGCACTCCAGCATTTAAATGTGAATAAATCTTTTGTGTCTCGTACCATCGCTCGATTCCGTGATACTGGTAGAAGTGGACAGAAGAAAACAGGAACATCAGCAGAAACGGTTCGAAAAGTAAAGAAGCGACTTAATCAAAACCCGCGTCGCAGTGGCCGAAAAATGGCTCGTGAGCTGAACAAATCGCAATATTCGGCAAATGTTGAAAAATGAACTCGGGGTGGTAAAGCCATTGAAATTTCAAAAAGTGCAAGAACTTACACCGCAACAGAATGAAAATAGACTCAAAAGAGCTACAGAGTTGCTTCGCTTGGCCGAAAGTGGTGAACTCCCGAATCTGGCTGTCCCCGTCTCCGATGAGAAAACATTCGTTGTCCAGCAGTTTGTAAACAAACAAAATGATCGCGAAAATATTCTGGAGGGTTTATTAACGGGCACGCAAACATTTTGGCCGAAGACCTTGGACATTACAACAGGACTCAGCACCATTGTACTCAGCACGCGCTACCCAAGAATGATTACAAAATGAGGTTCCCCGCTTCATTTCCAGCGCACAATTGCCACCAAAATCTCCGTATACCAATCCGTTGGACTATTGTGTCTGGAATATTTTGGAAAGCAAGGTTGGCACTAAAAACTGCCAAAGTGTCGATCACTTTAAGCAAGCGCATCGTCGGGAATGGGCCAAAATACCGCAGGTCAACATTTGGGCAGCGTGTGACGGTTTTATTGGCGTATGACGGTTTAATTCGTGCCAAAGGTGACCAATTCGAACAAATCTAAACTTATTCTAAAATTGTATGCTATATCCGACTTTCATTCAACAAAATTAAAAAAAAAAACAAGTTAAAAAGCAGTAAGTTCGGCCGGGCCGAACTTTGAATACCCTCCACCATTTGGAATGAATTTAGAAATTTTCAAAAAATTAAATCCTTAAAAAATTCTGTTAAAATTTTAAAAATACCGAATATAGCCGTTATATTGGGGTCTATACGACGTGGCATTGTTTGTCAGAAGCCATTACCATGTTCAAATTCGAAACTTGAAATAAACGGTGAATAATGTAGCTAAAATCGTTAAAATATCGTATAAAGTGAGGTACCGTTATATGGGAGCTATGCGAAGACTTGGACCAGCATAGACAATTTTCTGTCACAGGCTATAGTATCCATTACGAACTTCAAATACGACATCTCAAACAATTTCGGTAGGTTTAAGTACACTCGTCAAAATACTGAATATAGGGAGGTACTGATATATGGGGCCTATACGAAGACCTGGACCTACATAGGCATTTTTCTGTCACAGGCTGTAGTTCCCATTACGAACTCTAAATACGTAATTTGAAACAATTCAGGTGAGTAATGACGCTAAAATCATCAAAATACCGAATATTGGGAGGTATCGTTATATGGGGGCTATACGAAGACATGGAGCTGCACACACATTTTTCTTTCATAGGTTGTATTATCCATTACGAACTTCAAATACCAAATATGAAACAATTCCGGTGAATAATGTCGCTAAAATCTTCAAAATACCGAATATAGGGAGTTACCGTTATATGGGGGCTTTACGAAGACGTGGATCTGCACCGAAAAATTTCTGCTTACGAACTTCAAATACCAAATTTAAAACAATTCCGGTGAATCATGTCGCTAAAATCATCACAATACCGAATATCGGGAGGTACCGTTATATGGGGCTATACGAAGACGTGAACCTGCCCAAACAATTTTCTGTCATAGGCTGTAGTATGCATTTCGAACTTCAAATGCCAAATATGAAACAATTCCGGTGAATATTGTCGCTAAAATCATCAAAATATCGAATTTCGGGAGGTACCGATATATGGGGGCTATATGAAAACGTGGACCTAATTTAATTCGTGCCAAAGGTGACCAATTCAAACAAATCTAAACTTATTCTAAAATTTTATGCTATTTCCTACTTTCATTCAATAAAATTAAAAAAAAAAAAAAACAGTAAAGAAAGTCTTAAAGTCGGGCGGGCCGACTTTATGATACCTACACCACTTTGCTAATTTAGTAGAGCTCCACATAACAATTAAAAGTTTTTATGGGAGAATTCAATCATTTACGCTATGATTATAATTATAATTTAAAGTTCAAAGGACTAAATATGCCGAAGCATTTGTGTCTTTTAAATTCGGACTTGTGTTGCCCATTTGGTGCACAAATAATTTAAAATCGGATAAAAATATATATGGGAGCTATATCCAAATCTGAACCGATCTCGATAAAATTTGGCAGAGATATCTCTGAGCTGTATTTGAAATATTTCCCTGAATATCGTTGTTACGGAGTGCATATTACGGTTGTGGGTAACAAATATAACAAATCGGATGAACAATATATATGGAAGCTATAGCTATATCTGAACCGATCTTCACCAAATTTGACATACTTCTTCTAGACTCAATTCGGTCGTAAGTGCTAAATTCCATCCCATTTAGACAAATATTAGACGTTTGGTGCACAATAAAAGGTAAATCGGACGAAGTTATATATGGGAGCTATATCCAAATCTGAACCGATCTCGATGAAATTTGGCAAATGTATCTCTGAGCTGTATTTTATATATTTCCCCAAATATTGTTGTTTCAGAGTGCATATTACGGCTGCGGAGGACATAAATAACAAATCGGATGAACAATATATATGGGAGCTATAGCTATATCTGAACCGATTTCGATCAAATTACCACCTTACCACTATGTGGTGTAGGGTATAAAAACGTTAAAAATTGCTTGTGAAACTCTTAAGAACTTGCATAGGATACTCCTGTCCAATACATATATTTCCCCCTAGATAGATAGAGGAGATTGCTGATCTCTTCAACGTGTATAAATATTATTGTTTATTTTGTTTTCTTATTTACAGCATTTTAATGATCAACACCCAATTAATTGTTTGAATAACATTTTGTTTACATTACATCGAAACAAACAAGTAACAACAAAATAGTTTAAATGATTATGAACTTACCTTTGGGAAATTGATGCCACAAATTGGAAAGTCGGTATCTAAATTTCCACAATGGCTCCAGGCTGGCACATCAACACAAAGTAATTTAATCTGGAAATGTATCTATGAATGTTGTTGGCACGTATCTATGGCTGTAAATATGGGCATTAACAGTTTGAGTTGCTTTGCTCCAGGTGTCGGTTGTTATGATAAATCTCTATGATGCAGTTTTGCATCATAGAGGATTTTTCGAGAATCTATTTCAAGGCTTTATTAAAAAAATACAAAGCCTATTTTGTTTTTTTTTATTGCTGCAATATAAGCAACGTCTTTTATCACTTTCACTTTATCGTCTTTTATGTCATAATTCTTTGTTTTTAAATTGTTTCCTTTGCAGATATATTTTTGTTTTGTTGTTCTTCTATTTATTATCAATTATTTTCAAGTATTTTTTTTGTCAGTCCACAACACTTCTCACAACGTCGACGATCGCCAAAACCACAACTAGAATATACAAGAACAGTCAAACAACCCAACAGCAGCAGTAGCCAGCTATGTAGCTATCCATCAGCCACCACTTGACTGAGGAGGACGAATGCAAAA